GCATCAGCAATACCCTGGCTAACCTCTAGCCATGTATGCTCTCCACTCTCGACGAAGAAGACGGCCTTGGGGCCCGATGGAAGCCAGTTCGGTTGCTCTCGCACAGCTCGGAAGAGAAGGAGATAGAAGTTGGCCAGATCCAGGATATGGACATGGTTCCAGATCTATGACGAGAATGTCAGCCAGAATCTATCTATCATATACTGTAGATCAAACCTACCCCAGCTCCACTTTCGATGACAGCAGCATGGCCTCGCTTTCGGGCAAGGCGCGCAAGATTGGGCACCTGTTGACTTAGAGTCGCAAATGGACCGGATCCTTTGCCATCTGTCGTTTGTCAGTTCAGTTCGCCTTGGTGCCATTGTACGGCGATGAGTAGCATACAGATAGTGGGAGGAACGACGATATACGTCTTGACACCAAGACTCAATCCCGTCTCAACCACCGTGACATCGGTGACCCGTTGTCCGTAGCGCTCGGGGTGGTTCTTCTCCATTGCGTAGACGTCGTCTTTCTCGTCGGACCAGATCTTCTGATTCTGCGGCGTACCGGTGTAGGGATGGTCTCCCAGGATTGACGTACCAGATGTCTACATTGTCGTTAGCTTTGCAATTTGGATTCGAAAGCACAAAACCCTACATGGATCATGTACGCATCTTTGCCGGTAGCTTTCTGCCTCTGGCTCAGACCTTCCACCAAGGCTTTGGCAGAGCTATCGTGGGAGGCAGATGCGGCATTGATGACCACTAGAGCGATGTGTGAGTGCAAGTCAAAGCATCAATGTAGAACGAGTCAATACCATCATGCTGGGAAGCAGCGTCTCTACATGCGTCGAGGTCGTCCAGGCCCTTGAACTCCAGAGGCTTGACTCCGAGAGACTGGAGTCGGGCCGCCTGTTCCGGTCGACGGATCAAGGCTGAGATGCTCAATTCAGACGCCTCTGGGGATTGCAAGAGTTCAGTGAGGATTGAACCTCCACTGCATAGTGTCAGAGCTATACTGCGATTGTTCCATTTGGTTGCGCCACTCACATGTATCCAGTCGCACCGACGATAAGAACGCTCTTTGCTGTAATGGGAGACGCCATAACTACTACCAGGATGTACAGGCTTCAGTTTCAAACGAGTCTGTCTGTTAATTCATCTGTTTCGTCTACTTCATGACACCCATTTTATATACTGTCGCAGAGTTACAGCGGTCGACGTCCATTAGTAATTCCGCCGACGGGTGACGTCGTAGATCAAAACTCTCCGGATTAGAAATCGCTGCTTGGACCTTCCTCAGATGTGTCTCAATCAGGCAAGTTGAAGCTATTTCGCGAAGCTTCTTTCTTATTGGTCTGTGCGAACGTTAACCTTAAGTTCTTCAAGAGTTCTGAAGAAAATTTTTGCATTGCTTATTAATGACTGTCAAAATGCTGTCAAAAATGTGGGTGGCGCAACAAAGTAAAATATGGCATGCCTGAAGAAGATGATCATCCTCTATATTCTCCTTCAAAGTCTGTGATTGCTTAGTTAGTGGTAGTACAACTCTGACTATGACACTGAAGGTATATATCTGTGCAGCACAGCAGCCACGGACATAGTCAGCAATACAACCTATACAGCAAAGAGGGACATTCTTGATGATGATTATCAAGGTCAAGTCGGCCGACATGCATCTTGAACTTAGAACTTGATATGTACTTCTCTAAAGGGTCTACAGGGTCAAAGTACATTGAATGTTCTGCATAAATGGCGTATGAGGTGGCAGTGACATCTGACAGGAACCACTCCGAAAAGGGATCTCATTTCTCTAAACTATTCCTGGCGCGGTCAAGGGATGCTAACCTGTTTTAGCATTAGGCAACCAGATAGTGACTGACCAATTGCATCCACTCAGAGTGGGTCCTTTTCTTGGCAGGAGGAAATGCCGCGCGCTGATTGAAGCCTTTTTGGGGCGGACGAAGAAAGCGGGGAGACCTGGATGACCGCGGAGAGTTCCCATTGGCTCAGAGCGGTCCCTGAGACACCTGAGTCTTGGCTGTTTTCGTCTTAGTGGTGGATCCGGAGTTTCACAACTGAATAATATTGGGCCAAAACTGCAATGACCCAATGATCTGATGATGCTGGCAGATGCTCTGGTCACAGTGGCATTGGCACCCTTGGCAAGTCAGCACAGCCTTAACCCCCTGAAAAGTTAATGAGGAGGACCAGCACTATTATTATTATTATTTTTATTTTTATTATCATTACCTATCATTAATTTTATGATCAGTTTTCCCAGACCACTCTGCCTCACCTGCCTGGCTCCTAACGTTGTTATCGTCACTTCCCACCCCTAAGATACGTAGTGATTATTGTTCCTATTATCCCTATTATTGTTTGTCCCTGTCTATCAGAGCCAGATCATTCTGTTTTGGTACGATGATCCTGGTGATTTGTCGAACCTGATTTCTGTTATCCCCATTGTGACCTCCCCTTCCCATTTCTTTGAGCCTCTGCCCGTTTTCCCCTTCTTCGGTCAACCATCGCTTTCGGGATGCGCATGCTGAGTTTGCGCCAACTCTGCGGGGCCACCACTCTGCTCCTCTCTGGGCAGGTGGCCCTAGCAGATCTCGGGATCCAGGCCGATAATGTTGGTATGTCTTCCCAAAAAACCTCATCTTTGACTGCTTTAGAATGTACATTTGTAACACATGCTATGATGCTCAGATTCACTCAAGTCGGCGGCCAAGACCGTCGCTGCTCCCATGATGGAGTTCTATGACAAGAACCAAACCGAAGGCATTCCGGGCAAGCTGACCGGCACCTGGTATGTCGCCGGCGCCATGTTCATGACCCTCATCCAGTACTGGCAGGCGTCGGGCGATGACTCCTACAATTCCGTCGTGTCACATGACCTCATGTTCCAGTCGGGCGAGAATTACGACTTCTTCTCCGGCAATTACAGCCAATGGCTGGTAAGTTGCAACTGTGCTTAGAGTCTGCTTCTGCTAACATCTCCCAGGGTAATGATGATCAGATGTTCTGGGGTCTTGCCTCCATTACCGCTTCGGAGACGGGATTCCCGGAGATCTCAGATAAACCCACCTGGACCTCTCTGGCTCGTGTGGTCTTCAACATGCAAGTGGCCCGGTGGGATAAGGTGGCCTGCGACGGCGGCATGCGATGGCAGATCTGGCCCTATCAGGCTGGCTACACCATGAAAAATGCCATCTCCAACGGAGGCCTCTTTGAGCTATCAGCCCGACTCGCGCGCTTCACCAAGAACGACACCTATGCGCAATGGGCTGACAAGATCTGGGACTGGTCGGCCAGCACTCCGCTGCTGCAGACAGATCGCTGGTACATTGCTGATTCCACCTCCAATGAAGCCAACTGCAAGGATGCCGGAAACACTCAGTGGTCGTATAACTACGGCACCTATCTGTCGGGGGCCTCTTTTATGTATAACTATGTAAGTCACTCACCCCATGTCCAGTCGTCCACTTGCTCGACCGACACGCTGATTTCTATGGCGGAAAAGACCAACGGTGAAGACAAGTGGCTGAAAAGAGTCAACGGTCTGCTAGACTCCCTGATTGGCACCTTCTGCCCCAAGGACAAGGGCGGCAACATCCTGTCTGAGGTTGCCTGTGAGCCCATCATGACCTGCGATCGTAATCAAGTCGGGTTTAAAGGGTACACGGCCATGTGGCTGGCTCATACCGCCATCCTTGTCCCGTCGACCGCGGCTCGTATTTTCCCCGTCCTGCAAGGATCGGCTCTGGCCATCTCCAAGCAGTGCTCCAAGGCACCCGACAATACCTGCGGCATTCGCTGGTGGCAGCCCACCTGGGACGGCTTCACTCCCGGTCTAGAGTCGCAGATGGCGGCCCTGGCGGGCATCACGGCCAATCTGATGTACTACAAGTCGTCCGCCCCGAACACCATTCAGACGAACCCGGAAGGCAAGGAGCATCAGATTGACACCCACGAGGATGAGGCGCCAGATGCACTCGATCCCATCAACACAGGCGATCGCGCAGGGGCCTGGATTCTCACTGTGATCATCGTGGTTGCCGTCGGAGGGTCCGTTGGGTGGTTGATCAAGACTTGATTTTCTAGGATAGTTTCTTGCTTATTTTCTTTGGAGACAACAGTTGCTTGTTTGTCTGTTGTCCGGCGTGATTTGGTGAGGGTTTGGATTTGCACATTCTGTCATATTCGGGGCTCATCCCCATTGTGTGATCATTTCTTGTATTAGTTTCCCACATAGAGTCGACATTTCCAACAATATTTATATCGCTGCATCGGACTCCAGCCGAGTGTCCAATGAACTGATCTCATCGCTCCACTTAAAGCTTCACCGATACCCCACCAGCACTTATAAAACAACACAACATCCTGCGATGATCAGTCGAACAATCCATTCACATCCTGGTCGTGTCTATCCAAAATGGTGTATACCATCGTCGTCCGTATGTTACACTCTCTATAATCGATCCCGCCGAGCTGAAACTCATCTTTGCAGATCTCCGCGCAAAGCCTGATCCCGAGTGCATCTCGAAGCTTCACGCAAAGCTCCTCGAGGCCTCGGCCGTCTATTCCAAGGACAAGGAGACCCTATCCTGGTTCGTGATGCAGTCCGTCCATGACAAGCAGGACTTTTGCATTGTGGAGCGCTATCTGAACGAGGGCTCCCAGAAGTACCACCTGGAGAACCCGTACTGGAAGACCTTTGATCCCTATGTCATCCCGCTGTTGGAGAAGCCCATGGATTTGAGACGATTTGAGGAGTTGGTTCCAGAGGGAGAGAAGCAGTAGATAGACTGATCTTTGAAGCGTAAACAAAGCGCAGATACGATGAATATCAGAGACTTAAATCGCTTTGTTTCTTGTCGCTGATACTGGTGGGGTCTCTCACTGCCTGAGGAACGAGGCATCAGTTTGCTTTTCGCATCCCCACTGTTTTTATCTGCTCTCCCTGCGATTCCCAACTCATGAAAACATCAACAATCGTGTCAAATATTCTCTACAATGTCGAATAATCAATCCAGCGATGCTCTCATATTCCCCGATTCGAATCGGGTATTCTTAGAGCCCCATCTTCCGCCAAAAATTCAATTTCCACAATCCCCAGATTCTGATCTTCCCTTCACCACACTCACCTTTGCTACTTCCCTCGATTCAGCTCTGGCCCTGTCACCCGGCGCAAAAACTGTACTGTCAGGGCCGCAATCAAAAGCGATGACCCACTATCTCCGGTCGCGTCATGATGCTATCCTCATTGGGGTTGGCACTGCGGTTGCAGATGACCCTGGATTGAACTGCCGCATCGCCGGCGTCGGCGGTTACGGTGGTCAAGGTCTAGAAGGACAACCCCGACCGATCGTCATCGATCCCAGCGCCCGATGGGACTTTACAGAGAGCTCCAAGATTCTGACGCTGGCCCGGAAAGGTCGCGGTCGAGCGCCCTTCATCATCACAGGGGCGCAGTCCGTCCCCGCAGAGAAGAAAGCTCTGTTGGATAGACACGGCGGCAAGTTCATCTCTCTCGATGTGGTGACTTCTGAATCAGGAGAGCATCGCATGGACTGGACTATGCTGCTTAAGGCCCTCAGCAAAGAAGGACTGAAGAGTGTCATGATTGAAGGAGGGGGGACCATCATCAATTCTCTCCTGGAGCCGTCCTACCAAAATCTCATTGACTCGGTCATTGTCACGATCGCTCCAACCTGGCTCGGACAAGGAGGAGTGGTCGTTTCGCCTAAGCGACGATTCAACGAGCAAGGCGTGGCCATTCCCGCATCGCGATTGACCGGCGTGAAATGGTATCCTTTCGGAGAGGACGTTGTGCTTTGCGGGAGGATCAAGTCCTGAACCTGCATCTCTCCCGGCCGGATGCTTCAGGTAAAGAGATTTATATCTATATGATTTGGATACCTGCCATTAAATGGCTGTCTATACAAAACTCGCGACCTTCTCTTCATATTGCACCCTTTGTCAATGATACAACTAATACACGCCTCTGTCGGATGGGGACTGACTGGATGGTTTGCTCTCACCGGTACTGCCATCTGCAAGCCATGTCTAATGGTCAGTCTCTCTTTATCACGAGATGATCGTCCCAGAGAACGGCACCCGATTTGCCATAGGCTCATGGGAAAAGCGGTGCAACTTGGTATGCTTATGACGAGAGACAACGAGACGAGCCAACCAGACTTGTAACATGTCTTTGTCTCGGTTCAGGAAGTTATACATAGGTCCTTGCTGTGTCCTTAAATTTAGGGTCGATAATACAAGGTCTTTAGACATCAGTTCCCTGATTGAAGCATGGTACTTTTGTATGTGGCTGCCTTAGGAATCAGGATGCTTCAGGCCGACTTCCAAGGCAATGGATGCACGTGATCTTATAACGATTCACCCAATCAGACGTGAGAAATGCTGCATATGGGCCCATAATCCACATCTCTCAGGATAGGTAATCTCCTGATATTGCGATGGCTGCGTCTCTACACATGGCACATCCAGGATCATCAGATTATTTGTGGCTGGGACATCACGGCAATCTATACGGTTCACTCAAGACATCTTAACACCATCATGGTTCATCCAATCGTCCCTTCAAACGGGGACTCAGCGCCTGGAGACCCGGTGACGGGTTCTTCGGAGCATTCTACGTCATCCAACTTCCTTGTCAACGTCCTCCATCCGGTCAGCATGAGCGCACCACCAGGAGATCCTGTGGTCGTCAATTGGTGTCAGGCCATATATATCAATTATCTGTCTCTATATATAAACGAACCGGTTTTCTCTCCTAGTGTTCCTCCATTCCCCTCGGTCTCCTCCCCATTTTTGTATCCTCATTTCACTCCCACGCTTAGATTTTATTACGCCTGAGGAGAAAGCCATTGATGAATTGAACTCAATTGCTTGACAACGATTACCCAGAATGACGTCAAAAGGTGAGATCGAGAGCCTCTCCGCGTATGGAGTCGCTCGGGCGACCATCCAGGGGACCCCCCTCAGCAAGGATGAGCTCAGCAAGATGGATGCATATTTCCGTGCGAGTATGTATCTTTGTCTCGGCATGCTTTATCTGCGGGACAATCCTCTTCTCAAAGAGCCTCTCAAGGTGGAACATCTCAAGGCTCGATTACTGGGCCATTGGGGTTCCGACGCTGGTCAATCCTTCACATGGATCCACATGAACCGCTTGATCAAGAAGTATGACTTGGATGTATTGTTCATCTCTGGTCCCGGACACGGTGCTCCTGGCATTCTCTCGCAGTCATACCTCGAGGGTGTATACACCGAGGTCTATCCGGACAAGACGCAGGATGAAAAGGGCATGCAGCGATTCTTCAAGCAGTTCTCCTTCCCCGGCGGAATCGGTAGTCATGCGACTCCAGAGACCCCCGGAAGTATTCACGAAGGAGGTGAGCTGGGATACTCGATCTCTCATGCCTTTGGAACCGTGTTTGACCACCCGAATCTCATCACGTTGACCATGGTGGGTGATGGCGAGGCTGAGACTGGCCCTCTAGCCACCAGTTGGCACAGCAACAAGTTCCTCAATCCGATCACCGATGGCGCAGTTCTTCCAGTGCTCCATCTCAACGGCTACAAGATCAACAACCCCACTATCTTGGCCCGCATTAGTCACGAGGAGTTGGAAATGCTTCTCAAGGGGTACGGATGGACCCCGTACTTTGTCGAAGGAAGCGACCGTGAGAGCATGCACCAGGCCATGGCCGCCACCCTCGAGCATTGCGTGTTGGAAATCAAGAAGATCCAGAAACAGGCGCGCGAGTCCAACAAGGCCTTCCGCCCTCTTTGGCCTATGATCGTTCTTCGGTCGCCCAAGGGATGGTCAGCGCCCAGAGAAATTGACGGCAAATATCTCGAGGGCTTTTGGCGTGCCCACCAGATCCCTATCACCGATGTGCAGAGCAAACCGGATCACTTGAAGGTGCTGGAGAACTGGATGAAGGGGTACAAGCCAGAGGAGGTCTTCGACAAGAACGGCACACTGATCCCCGATTTGAAGGAACTGGCTCCGACAGGCAACTCACGCATGAGCGCCAATCCGGTCGGCAACGGTGGTCTCCTGCGACGACCGATGGACTTGCCTGATTTCCGCGACTACGCCCTGACCGATATCGAGCCAGGCGTCACCATCCGTCCCAGCATGACCAATATGTCGAAGTATCTGCGGGACGTGGTTGCCCGGAACATGACCACCTTCCGAGTCTTTGGGCCCGATGAGACCGAGTCCAACAAACTCGCCGAGATCTACAAGGCAGGCAAGAAGGTTTGGATGGCCGAGTACTTCAAAGAGGATGAAGATGGCGGCAACCTGGACATGCAGGGCCGTGTGATGGAGATCCTCAGCGAGCACACCTGCGAAGGTTGGCTGGAGGGCTACATCTTGTCTGGTCGACACGGGATGCTCAACAGCTACGAGCCCTTCATCCATGTGATCGACTCGATGGTCAACCAACACTGCAAGTGGATTGAAAAATGCCTCGCGGTGGAATGGCGCGCCAAGGTTTCCTCGCTCAACATTCTCCTGACCGCGACCGTGTGGCGTCAGGATCACAATGGATTCACGCACCAGGACCCCGGATTCCTGGATGTAGTTGCTAACAAGAGCCCCGAGGTCGTGCGGATCTACCTCCCTCCCGATGGTAACACCCTCCTGTCGACCATGGACCATTGCTTCCGCAGCGTCAACTACGTCAATGTCATCGTGGCCGACAAGCAGGAGCACGTGCAGTTTCTCAACATGGAGGAGGCGATTGAGCACTGCACCAAGGGAGTCGGCATCTGGGACTGGGCTAGCAACGATCAGGGCTGCGAGCCTGATGTAGTCATGGCATCTTGCGGCGATGTCGCTACGCACGAAGCGCTGGCTGCGACGGCTCTGTTGCGCAAGCACCTACCCCAGCTCAAGGTCCGTTTTGTCAACGTTGTTGACCTGTTCCGGCTCATCTCCGATATCAATCATCCACATGGTATGCCCGACCGTCAATGGGGAGCCATCTTCACCACCGACAAACCTATCATCTTCAACTTCCACTCGTACCCCTGGCTCATCCACCGTCTCACCTACAAGCGGCCGGGTCAGCATAACCTCCACGTGCGGGGCTACAAGGAGAAAGGCAACATCGATACGCCATTTGAGCTGGCTGTACGGAATCAGACCGACCGGTACAGCTTAGCGATCGACGCCATCGACCGTGTCCCGTCCCTTGGCAATACCGCCTCGGGAGTGCGGGAGCGTTTGATCAATCTCCAGCTGGCCGCGAAGAACAAGGCGTTTGACGACGGCATCGACCCAGACTATATTCGCAACTGGACCTGGGATTACCCGCGGAAGAAGTGTTGAGCCAAAGGGTAGTTTTTCTTATTTGGCCATACGATGTTGAAGACTGGATAATTTAATATGCTGCCATGTCGAATATTGAGTTGTTACGATCTTTTATCTCTCAATGACCACCTAGTATTTGCGCTCTAGGCCCCTTGACTATCCATGCTGGATTTTCTATTCTTGCCCAAATCCCGAAACGTAGTTACTCTCCAGTCTTCCGTTCATCGACAATCAGTAGGCGCCCTGCCGGGGCTTCCACCTTGGCTGAGGTGCCTGGGCCGGCTTGCGGTATCCGGACAGAATAGGAGTAGAAGCGACAAGCTCCAAACCACCGACCAAAGCTCCTTGATGCTCGAGCGCCCAAAGCGTCAGTGCCACATAGTTGACCCCGTTGTAGTTGAGAATACCCTCTGGAACGGGGAAATTGGTTTGTGGGCCGAGATCATTTACTGCGTCCAGTTAGAAAGTGATGACAGATTACCTTCTTCTTAACATACCGTATTTCCCAAACTGATATCCATTGACAAACAGCTGACAGCGATAGCTCGTCCCTGACCTTGCATCTGATGCGGAGGTGTTAAAGACAAAGCTCAACGGGATATCGTATCCCTCGGGTAGATCCAAGGAGAACGAAGTAGCATAGAATCCAATACCAGCGCCAGTGAGACCATCATTGATCGGGCTGGATGACTTCCAGCTGGAGGTAGGCGGTTCTGGAAGATGATATCCCTGGCGCTCGGCATACATGGCTCCCTCGTTGAGCGGACCTCTCGTCAGATCCTGGTACTGCTCGCCGCCGAGATTACCAGTCATCTTCCAAGCAATATCGGACAGCTTATGGCCCGAGAGCGCGTAGTCGAGAATTCCTCGTGGGAACTTGATCGCGTCTGTCCCCGGTGCCTCTTCGTCCTGGCCCATGTGGTCGATCACTACTGTCAAAACGTATGGTTCCCCGGGAGACAGCTCGTGGGGGAGGGAGATGTTTCTGGGATAGGTCATGTTGTTTCCACTACCTGTCCATGATCCCAGGAATGTTTGATTTAGCCATACAGAATTGGCGAAGCCCACGCCGCCAGAGGTGTTGAGGAAACCCCATGACTCGTCTCCGTTGGCTTTGAAATGGCCCCGGTAGATCAGTGAGCCTCCGTGATAGCCGTAGTCGTCGGCGTACAGACATGTAGGGCCAGTGAATTGGCGCGTGTTATTGGTGAATGTGTTTGTCAATGGTGTCCAACTTTCGTCGCTATAATCGGGGGAGATTTCGGGGAGAGAATCGAGGTATTTCCAGGCGAGACGCTTCAGATCTGGCAGGGAGATAGCCGGTGGTTGATAGCGAACCGTTGCAGCGAGGTTGCCAATCTTAGATGGACTTGATTTCAAGGACTGGCCGTTGAAGACAATCGCATCGAGTCGACTCGGCGCTGAAATAACCTCCAAAGCAGTTGTTGCGTTCACATCTCCGACCAAATGCAGTTTATTGTCGGCAATTGACGCGCTTCGAAGCAAA